TTTTGGGAGAAGTAACTAGTAACTATAACTAATTACTTTTTCAAAGTAACGTGCCCAACACTGCCTACAGGACACCTAAAGTTTATGTTGAGATGTCAATTTATTCTATGAAAAGTTTTAGTTATTTAATCTCTGAAAAAAATTAACTTGAGATTTATTTATCATGCAAATGCTTTGCAATCTCTGTGTTTTTGAAAATTGTGTTTTAGCTTCTATATTGTTGTGTCAGCCATTCCAAAAATTATTTGGTGGAGTAATAATACAGTACTATTCTATTCTATTCTATTCTATTCTATTCTATTCTATTCTATTCTATTCTATTCTATTCTATTCTATTCTATTATTCTATTCTATTCTATTCTATGAAAAAATCAGGATGACAAACAATAAAAAAAGAGGAGAAATAAAGGGGTTGATTAAAGGGTGTTGTACAATTTAATAACTCTCATTAACTGAACACAAATATGCACCCCACTTTTCACATTTGCGTTTTTAAAGGTTTTAAAAAATCCGATCCCCTGTTTTTCTTCCATCTCACCTTTATGTACAACTTTGTATGTTACAAGACATCATGTGAGAACTGTGTTCAATTTTGCTTCTTTATTTCATGAACTACAATTTTAAACTTTGTAGTTGTCATAAACTGCCAGTAGATGACAATGATGATATGGACTTTGGTGTCTGGAGGGAGACATAAAGTAAATGTTTGATTACAGATTTGTGGACAAAGTCATAAGAGAAGCCTAGATGAGTAGAGTTAGGAATGTCATTAAAGTCATTTAATGTCACTTAAAGGCATTTAAGTTAATGCATAAGTTTAGTATGGAAGGTGAGCAGATTGGTTTAAACCTTATAAAGGTATATATATATAAAAACAAACTTTGAAAGAAACCAGGTGAGGTGGAGGTTTAAAAAATCAGCAAGATGAGCAAATACTCAGAAGATGTAAAACTGTGGAGTTGGGGGAAAAAGATATGTAAATTGATATTGCATCACAATCGAAGATTTTGGAGAAAAAAAAAAAAAAAACGTGTCTTCATCACCATGTCTGAATGATGAAGATCTGGGAAAAAAAAGTGGCTGAGAAAAAAGAACCAAGAGCCTTGTTGTGCTTTATGAGTTTCAGGATGACATATTTTCCTAATAAAAAAATAGTAGGATTTGTGAGTTTTCCTACCAGGCCTTATATCTTTTCTCATATACACCATCACAAATGCAGTAGATATGATCACACAGTATTTGGATGCAAAGTAAAATAAAATTTTGTCATTGCCAAATGTGGATGAGATCATTGAATAATGCATTTATGGACATTCTGGAAAATAAATTAACTGTGGAGGTCAAGATAGTGTTGCCTAAGGCCTAAGGGTGCATGAGGCAAGGAAATAAATGAGCAACTTAAACCAGTTAAATCACTGATTGTGAAAAGGCAGATGAAAACTGTAAGAAATAAATCAGTTCAAAACAGGGGAGAAATTTCTTTGAATTGAAGACCTCGGCAAATTCAAAGAGAAAGGTCAGGAAAGGAAACTGAAGAAAACATGATATGTTCATTGCACAGTTTATTAAATGTACTGATCAAGTGAACCAAAAAAAACGAATAAATTGCTGTGAAAGGTGCATATAAAAGAGCATATAAAATATTTGACATTTCATTGGGCATAAACCAGAGCCAGAGATAAAAGTACATCTCAGTATTGAAAGAGACAGGGAGATGTAGGAGGTTGTGTTTTATGTCTGTAAAACAAAACAAAAAACACTATGTAGACTTTAATGAAAGGGATCTGTGGATAAGAATATGAAGATACTAATGTTTTATATTAAAAGAGCTTTACTACAATCAAATAAAGGAACTGATGGAAGGAAAATTCTGTTGAGATTTTAATACAACAGTACATTAAGTGGTAATGATGCCATTGTGGAACTGGTGGAAAATAAGATATTTATAAAGACAAATGTTAGTTAATGATGGGGGTGTTACTAGAGTAGTTACTGTATCAGAAAATGACCTGAATCAGCTGTAAACTTGATACATTTGATATATAAGAAAGACTTGCAGGGATTCCTTCAGCTTCTTTTTTTCTTTTGGTATTTTGAGTTTTTTTTAGCAAATAATCCGTAGAAAGTTATCATTGGAAATCGAAATAATACATTTGGAAATTAACTTGTTTAAATATTTGGGCTGGTAGACTTTCATATTTATTCATTTCTTTTTGTGTAAAATACCTTTTCGGACTATTTTTCTGGGTGCACACTTCCGCCGTACACCGGATGTTGCTACCCGAACCAGAAGCGCCAGTTAAGTGCAGAATCGAACCTGTGCAGAGGATGTATGCCGCCTGTTCTAACAAGCCGCAGCTGGAAGACACTATTAATAAACTGTTTAATTGAAATAAAGAGAAAATATCAGAGGAGGTCCTGGCATTGAGGGTAAGTTTTAACGCGGTTAGCAGCTTGGAGCACATTTAGCATCTTCGAGGCTAGCTGCGTGTAGCTGGTGTTAGCTACGAAAAAAAGATACTTTATGTTATTCAGTTGTGCATAAAAAAAACTTACTAAAAAGTATGTTATAGTGCGACGAATGTGTATATGACTTATACATGGATAGACGGTTTATAAAAGAGGGCGGTGCACGTGTTATCCGTGCAGCATAAACATAGGCTCCAATGACAAAAGAAACATTGAGTGTTGCGAACTAATTTTGCATGTTACTCTATTCTAAAGAAATGCTAGTTGGACTTGTCATTTCCTTATTGCATTTTGATGTTTTTTCATTCCTACTTCAGGCTAACACGCGTACCTTAATTTACTGATACGCCACATGGGATGTTTTTTTATTACATTCGTATTAAAGTGTTGGGTTGAATGTTATGTTCTCCGACCAGACTAGCCCAGTGGGACCAAAAAACCAAGAGAAAAGTAGAAAATTGTTAGATTTTCTTTGACAACGTCAAAAATAATAGTTTTGATTAAATGAACAATACTCTATGAAGTGAACAGTTGTGGAAGTATAACGGGCCTTCATTGACAACAGCTGGATAGCATGTAATATGTGGATCTCTGTTTGGACATTGTCAGCTTTCCTCACTGTATTCTTAAATAACATGGCACTGAAGCTCCTAAAACTGGCATTATCTTTGTTTCTGGATAAGGGATTTTCTTTCACCCACAGGTTCCAAAAGGTGAGAATAGGCTACAGTACATTATGCTCTCTGATCATTCAAATTTTTTTTTTTTTAAACAATCCACTGGACTTGGTTTCCAAGTTTGAAGACGTTTCGCTTCCGATCTAGGAAGCTTTTTCAATTCAAAATGAAATTCAAACTTTTTCAATTCAAACTGAAATTCAAACTTTTTCAATTCAAACTTTTGAATTTAAAAAAGCTTCCTGGATGGGAAGCGAAACGTCTTCAAACTAGGAAACCAAGTCCAGTGGATTGTTTTTTATTATTTTTTTTTGGGAATGACTAACCTGGATGACCCTCTCTGATCCTGAACACGGGATGCCCCAGAGCTTTGTGCTCAGTCCTCTCCTCTTCACCCGTGCACTAAATCCGGGCATACTCTGTGCGATTTTTTTCAATCATTGCCTGCAGCTACAGCTCAAGCTTTACGATGAAACTAGCAGGGTCTCGTTGTACAGTGTGAGTTCACAGCTCAAGATGCATGTTCAGTCCGACGCTCTGATGCGATCTACGTACTCACACTGTACATCTAAAAACCACGGATTCAGCTCCGCAGTGAGATGGCGCTACTCAAACTCGTCTATCCTGAAGCCAAATCAGTAGAAGAGGAATATGAAGTTCACTAGAGTGAAATGAGCTGCCTTGGCAATTTGTGCAATTTTGTGCTGAAATCCCTTAAAAACAAAAGGCTGCGACGTATTTGGACAAAGTCGTGGCTGAGCAAACGTGGCTACTACGGTCTGTCAACTTTACAGAAAGAACTCCATTTTACTCACACCCCTGCCATGCTGCTGTGTTTACAGCTGAGAGGAAGAAGAAAAAGGAGAATCCTTGTTTGCGCATGCACACTGAGAGATTTACCCACGATGGTACCCTGAGGTTGGGAGAAAATCAAACATGTTTAATTTTCTCCTGACCTCATGATTCCTGATCAAGAGGTGGTCGTGGGAGGCTGTTTGCCCCTCGTTACCCCCAGTATACCACACGATGCACGATCAGGCTGAAAGTCGGCCTGAACAGAAAATTCTCGGGCAACTGGAAAATCGCACAGAAAAGGCAATAAATCGCACAGTGTATGCCCTGCTTAAAAACTACTTTGCTATCTACCACAATTAATCTGCTTGGGGAGTTTGCACAGGACAGACCCCCATGCTTGATGTAATCACAGATAATGAGACAATCCACCAGAGTGGAAAGCAAATAAATGTCCCTGTGGTGTTCAGACTGAGATGGTCCTGAATGCCACCTAATCCACAACAACCAGAGAGGATGTTTTGGATTTCAAGGTGAACAAATACCCCCTTCTTATACATAGATAAGCACTGTAGTGTTTTTTATAAAATCAAGTTACTGGTAGGGGTGTATTTGATTAGTCAGCCCCACTTTCTTTAGTTTGGTTGATCGATTATGGCCGATGGTAGTTTTATCGACCTCCAGAAGGGTCTGAAGTTCACTGACAATTCTCTAAACCTTTATTTTTTATATGAGATCACTGCCTCATGAGCATTTAAAAACAGCTATTATTATTTCACAGGTACTGCTTGAGTTTGGGGAAAAAAAGGACATTTTGAATTATGAAGTTATAACAATGTTATAAAACCCAACAGTGTCAGTCTTAAAAAAAACAACAACAACAACAGCAAAACATAAACCATAGTTGTTAGATAAGCCTTTTAAATATCAGTGGTCAAACAGAAAAAACATGACTCTTACACCCCTAGTTTCAAGGTATTTAGGTTTCTTCTGACCTGTCCTGGACTTTTTTTCATCAGAAAGCAGAAAAGGTTATCCTTTAAAGGGCTTGTAAACTTTTACGAAGCCTGAGTAGAGACCCTGTTTTTAGATGGAGCAGTGCAGTGTGGGAGCTGCATGGCACAGGAAAGAAAGAACTTGCCCTGAGCTTTCAGAAACCATGCAAGGACCATGGGATGTCATCTCCCCTATTTGTTTTCTTTAGACTAGACGAGATCAGAAAAGAATTAGAGCCATCCAAAACTAGTTTGTACCACTGCCTTCAGGGAAAAATCTCCATAGAAACCCCCCATATTTCTTTTCTTCCTTGGCCTCTTATTCTCCCATTTAGTTTTCCTACTTATTCAATATTTTCTTTACCACAAAGGTGAGTTGGTTGTTTAGTTAGATAGGCCACAGATTAAGCCACCAAAGCTAAAATATACCCTGTATTGGTCAATGCATCCCAAATTATACTACTCTATGTTAGACTTATTTATGATTTCCTTTACATATGTCTTGCAGTGCCTTAAGAAATCTTGAACGATGATGGAGCGAAGACGAGCCTTAACTATTCCATTTGTTGACAAGGACAAGCTGGTATTTGTTAAAGTAGTTTATTTGATTTCAGGTTGTTAAACTGCATGTTAACTTGTCAATTTGTAAGCAATGACTCCATACATCTGTGCTGTGATTTGCTGCTGGCTTGCAATGTGGCTATGGCTGTCTTATTGTAGTTGTTGGACATAATGATATCACCAGTGTGTGTCTTTAAGAAGTTATGTGTGAGCTGATTCCTTTCGTCTGGTTAGGTTTGTCTTTGTGATGTGGTTAAAAAAACTGGGTTTTATGCTAATGCTGGTCCTGTTTGTGTGTCACTGACTGCCTGAATGCACAGCTGCACTTTATAGCCACCTGAAACAAAAGTGAATAAAAGTCACCACAGGAAACCTGAAACCAGGATTTATTTAAATCTAGTTTTAAAGAAAACTTTAACAGGGAGTAAATACGGTATCTGAATTATCTGAACAACAAGCTTGAAATGCAACTGATGCATGCTTCTATAATCCCACAGTTAACAGCCCTTTATTACTTACTTGGGCTAACACTAACAATATACCTACTGCTAGTGTTAGTGGAGTAGGAGAAAAATATTGACTCCGGGGAGCATTCCTGAGCTTGCAAATCAAATCACCTGAGCTCTGCCTTTGCAGCTCATATTTATTTCATTAATTTCATCATCCAGTTGGTTGGATCAGAGGCATATTTACTCTGTCATCATATTACTGTGTCAGAAATTGCCTTTTTTCCAATCTTTTCTTTCCTGTTTTTACCTGTCTTTCTGCATGTTTTGGCTAAAGTACATTTTAACCCTTCTTTTACTGGTTTCTATTTAAGTAAAAGGATCTTGGTGAATCTCTCTGTATTTAGATGGAGAACCCACTGAAAATATCCGTGGCGTGCTTGTCATCAGAGTGTGGAAAGTTGGACGGGCAGGTACAACATATCCTTGATCTCTCCGGCTACAATAACTTATTTTGTCAGTGCTCTTATATGTATTTTTTCTTATCGTCTAAAAAGGTCCCATGGACTGCTTTTGCTGATCATAACGGCAGTCCCAACCACAAACCAAGGCATAAAAACGGCTCCACGGTGTTTGATTGTAATCGCGCAGCTTTGAAAAGTTCGGACATCATGAGGTAAGTGAGGCACAAAAAAAATAAACATCTAAAACAACGTATTTTTACCATGTAGTATACTAACTTTTAAAGAACAGATGATGGAGAGGAGATTTGCTGTATCAGAAATCATCCGTAGGTTTATGAAGATGTTTGAAAATCCATATGTCAATAAATTAAGTGGAGAAAAGTTTAATACAATTTTGAATGGTATTTAGCAGCATTGCTAGCCGGTGAAACTGCTGTCACTAACTAGTCCCTCTATGACTAAAATGTTATATGAATGCTGGGTGGAGGTGTAGATGTGCTTCCCTTGCATCCCACTAAGATAATTAAAATAATTTGTTATATTGCAAACAAATAGCATTACAAAGACTGAGGAACACTTGAGCGGCGTCAGAGAAGAAGTGGTGGGTAAGATTATAGCAGCGTTGGCCTATAAAGGAGTATCTGAAGCTTTTCACATCCCACAGAGTTCTGTTTATTTGTCCTTCATTAAAAAATGGGAGTAGGGCACAATGGTTGACCTAAAAACATGGCTGTCCACCTATACTAATAAGCCATGCATGAGATAATCATGGAGGAGGTGCAGAGAACTCCCCTGGGAGAATGTGTTTATATAGCTATTGGTTGTCACTCCACAAATTTAGCATACATGGAACAAAGTCAATGTTGAAGGGAAGTCGTGATTAATCCTATTTAAGGTTTGGCAAGAGCCATGAAGCAAAAGGAGGGGAGGAGCAAAGATAAGTGGTCGTGACATGATACCAGGCTGTGGGGGTGCTTTGATGCAACAGAAAACAGGCTACGTGTCAGGGTTGATGGGAAGATATATGGAGCTAAATACAGACTGACAGTGAGAGAAAACCTGCTGGACCTAACTAGACAAAGATCCACCTTCTAGTCTCGCAAGGACCTTTTTTTGACAAAGGGTGGGGAGCAGGGTCATTTTGTGAGAGGCTGTGGCTCTTTGTTTTTATTTTTTTTTATCTGACCTAAATAATCTGCTAAAAAAAAACGGCTAAAGCGTGATTATTTACTGAGTGTGTGTCAGTGAACTGGTCTGAGAGTATTTGCATGTGTCTGCCTGTGTGGTGTGAGTTCACTGGAAGCTGTTGTTCCCATATCTGTTGACTACAGATCAAGCCTGGCTTATTTTAGGAGTAAAAAAATGTGAATGAAAGTGGTGAAATCTATACTCGCCCATGCTCTCCTATTTTATTTTATTTTTCATACTTGTGCCAATCGATTTTTAGGTGAAGTGCTCACACTGTACAGCTGTGTAGGTCTGGCTTTCTTCCCTTTAAAATTTCTCCAGCATTCGTATTGATCCCAATCACACGTTCCAATCATCCATCCACTTGCAAGTGCACGAGGGATCTCCCGTTTGCTGAGCTGTCTTCTTCTGTACGATCTGCATCTGAACTGGAAGAGTGCCAAAATCTCAGTCGCTCTGAGTATAAATAATTTCAGCATCGTTAAGCAGAGTTTTACACATCCACTCTACCTGATAACTACCTACTGAAGCGGCATTGGCTATTTGACTCACCCACATGACTTCAGATGACGTGACTTGTTAATAAAAAAGCTATTTTTAGAGACACTGCTAAGAAGTGTCACTTTGTATTTGTAAGTTTATGTCATTATGCTGGCCGAAACGCTTTAAATCCTAAATTAGCTTTTCATATACGATCCATCAGACAACATGTAGTTTGTACTTTGTCAAAAATGTAACCTTAAATTTGCTCTTCAAAAAGAAAGACAACATGACGCCAGGGCTGTTAGGGCAAACTCTGGGTCAAAGAATATTAGAATAATTTAGTGAAAAGTCTACACATAAATCCATCTAGTCTGATGGATTTATGTGGGTGACAGAAGCTTTTTTTATAGAAACTGGAGCAGATATTTTAGCCGCTTCGACAAAGGTTGTGTAACGTTGGAAGTTGAATGCAAATACAGGCCACGCTCTAGACTAACCATGTGTCCTTATGATTCCATTTAAGGTTATTTCATCCCTGCTTCCATCAGGCTCTTAAATATGGCACTATAATGGCAATAACGTGCGCAATTACTATTTAATACCCTGTGTAATAACCTCCTTTTATATTTATATACCCAGTGCAATAGCTATATATATATATATACACACACATACACACACCCATGCAAATTTTCCTCTTGGCCACTTCTTCTTTTTTACTATATGAGCTGATGTAACGAGTGCATTTCTTCACTGTGAGATCAATAATGTCAATCAATTAATCACTACTATTTTTGGTGTAAAAACCTTTATTACATTACAACATCATGGTTGTAATGTAATTAAGTGAGAAAGTTCAAGGGAATTTGATATTTTAAAAAGTCCTGTATATACTCTAATAGAAGTACATTGCTTAATTATTGTATTTCCATCTTTGAAAAAGAAATCCTATATGCTCAGTTTATTGTTAGTATTTCTGTTTATCATGATTTTATTTATTTATAGGAATGACTGTATTTAACCATTTTGACTATGGCCAAAATTATCTTGAAACCCATATGGCTTATCTTAAGCATTCAGGCACTCCCTGTCCAATAATCGTCCAAATAAACTTGTCTGTTGCGTAGAAGGAGTTGAAGTTTGAAGATGTTGATAAGCCACAATATCATAGATGAAGGTTGAAAGAAAACTTTTGTCTTTTGTGTCCTTCAGGAGAAAGCCACGTCTTGTCCTAACAGATGTCTTAAAGACGGAGCTAGGCAAGGATTATATTAAGAGATTAAAAAACAGAAGCAACGTAAGAAGACTCTCTGGTCTTCGAAAGGTCGACAACCGACGCAAAGAGGAAGAACTCTGCTACAGCGAAACTAGATCCAGACAGATGGAGGAGAAGAACAAGAGCAAGGATATAACCCCTAAAGGAAAAAAGAGGACTCCCACATCTAAAAGGTAAGATTGGGGTTGAAAAAGGAATAAAATACAATAAGGTGGATTCATCGGCTCTGGTTCTACTACCAGATCAACTAGTAATGATATATGTTGACCTGATACTGTTGTCTAACAAATATTTTATCAGAGCCTACAATATGTATTATTATTATAGTTATATGGGATTTTATTTTTTTTTATTTAATTTAAAAAAAAAGTTTAACTTCAACAAATTATTTAAAAAAAATGATTGACTTGGATATTTGTAAACTGTACAGTAGCAAATAATAAACAAAGGTATTTAGAGGATGAGCAAATCCATCTAATATGTTTTTGCAAGTCACAATCACATCCCCCTGTACATTTCTCTCTCATTAGAGATCATTCATATATTTAACTTTATTGTTAAATGTTTTTTGTTTGCCATTTATGTCACTATAAGGACACTTTTCTTTTTAAAGTTATAATCTTTTCATACAAACCTTAAACAGTAGATTTCACTTCAATCAGCTTTGCTGACGGTGAGAAACACTGAAACCTGTAGGACAGCTGCCCTCGGCACCTACTTTGGACACGCTTGCTCAAACACAGGCCATTAGTTCAACCTAGTCAGAACAGCTTGTATTTTAAATTGTAAAAAAATATATGAATACTTATTTAAAATGAAAAACCTTTGTCTGTCTATATGTTCTACTCAGAACTCCTCAAGTAGCTTAGTTTAAGCTTCACCTGGTTTCAGTTCTGTATAATTCTTCTTTAAGGCACATTTTGCCTTCAACTAATTGCATTAATTAATCGAAAAAAATAATCAACAGATTAATCGATTTGGCAAATTGATCATAATTGCAGCTCTAGGATTAATTAGATCCTGCAGTCTTATCCGTTAACTGGTACAAGTATCATACAGAATTTTACCACATGGGTCAAACTTGCATCACAATATATGTCTTAATTTCCGTCGCTGTTATATCATTTTTAGATCAATGTATATCAACAAAATAAAGTTAACAAAAAACTCCAATATAAACATTTGGTAAATATGCTGTAATCATAACCCTATATATATATATATATATATATATATATATATATATATATATATATATATATAATTATTGTCCACTCCTTGTTTGCTTAATAAAAACAATCTTAATGAAAATAAGAACAGCAAAGGCCTAAATGGCTAAGTGTTAATTCACTGTATTGTTAATTCATGTGCTTTAATGTTCTGAAAGTGATTAATATGAACAGTTCTCCATTGCACTTAATTAGAAGAGTTTGAAACAGAATATAAATATCCTGCATTGTTCCACTATGGTGTAAAAATGATGGTTATTAAGTCTGTCAGCTGCTTGGAGTGAGGGTCTGCATTAACATTTCTTTGTGCATTAAGGATGCAGCAGTATAGGGCTGTAAGTGATTATCATCTTGCTAACCATTAAACTATTGATTAAAAGGTAAATTGTTGATTAAAAGGTGCAGAAAAGTTTATTTTGCTTTGTACTTTGAATCAAGTTTAGTAAGAACCCTCTACTTTAGGAGTTCTGGATAGAACGTATTACAAAGGAGGATTTATTTTTTTCTTTTGAAATATTAGTTGTTATATACGCATATTAGTGTTTCAGGAAATAACATGTTTAGAGTCTGTATTCTAAGGCATTAATACGCCTTAACGTATATCAAATAACCTACCTGTAACTTGTGGCCACATACTTGCCCTATGTCGATGTGTTCCAGCGTGCTCATAACTAATACAAAACTGACCCATACCTTATCCAATGTGTGCTAGAATGTTTGCAAGATTATCCGTACATCAGTCATAAGTTGCCTAAATCGTCAAGGTGTGACAGGGGCTTTATTAATTTTGTTTTTTCTGTCACTGAAGGACCAACAATGTGGAAAAAGCTCTTTATCTTATGTATGGTTTCATGTTCTGTTTTTAGTCCCTGAATTATTTCCCAGAAGTCTTAAACTCTGCTCTGTAGAGCTCACTATTCTGTCCAGCATGTTTAAGTTGTTCTGCCTCCACACACCTGATTTAAATGAGGGTAATTAACATACCTCTCCAGCTCTTGGGGCTGTTGAAAAGGTAGTGCAGTCGTTAGATTCAGGTGTGCGGAAACAGAGATGCATCTGACAGAACAGCCCCATCCTCCTTGATGCTGTCTTTTAAAGGCGGCGGGTTTATCCTGTGTAGTTACTGCAGATAGGTAGGAAAAAGGTTTGTATGAAACCTTGACTGGCATCTGCTCTCTGTAGGTAAAAATAGATGGTCCGCAAAATTATGGTTTAAGATAAGCCTGTTTTCCCTCTCAGTAACTATTTAAGTTTTTTTTTTTGTGTGTGTGGAAACAATTGAATATAAAATGTCTAGGAGTTATCACTAGGAGTTACATACATAATGTATGAAGTGAGGCTTTTCATTTTTACATAGAACAAAAAGAGTGAGGAATGTTATTTTTTTCCTTTAATTTTTTTTTTATTTTTTTACTTTATTAAAGCTTTGTGGTAAACTTTAAACTGACTTTGTGAAGTGAACTTCTCCTTTATGTTCTTATCTCTATAGACTACTAAATAGACTTAGAAAACCCCAGAACACTGAAGAGGAAGATGATGAAGAAAGCCAAGGTACCAAAGAGATGAAAATCAGCAAAGAAAGCGAAGGAGACGAGACGTTTGCTGAGGTTGTAGGTGGGTGTGTTATCAGTGCATTAAAAATACAATTATTTTTTTTTTAAATCTCTCCGGGTGAAGTTTGACCCTTACAATTCCCCATTCCTGTGTTTATTATTGCTAAGAGATATTATAAGTAACAGTTTCTTGTTTTGCTACAGAAAACAATAAGTGGGCTGAATTTTAAAGTTTTGACACCTTCAGACTTTCTATAAATATTTTTTACAGAATCAGAATATTTTCCAACTTCTGTGTCGAACATCAGATTCCCAACGATTATTACTGTGAACAAAACGATTTTACATGTGAGAGCAGAAGGCAATGACAAATATGGTTAAAGGTCTTTCTATTTCTGTGTATTTCTGTGTGAAGTTTTCATTAGATCATTCATTTGTAAGCTACTCGAAGAATCTAGTTTTGCACAAAAAACCACGCCTTGATCCAACGTTTCTCGTTTTCCCTTTTTCACTCTGATGAGTTAAACTCCAGCAAATCACCTTCACCATATTTATGTGCAAAATACATGTCTTTTTATTTAACTTGGTTCAAAGATTGCAACTAATGAAGAGAAAACAAACTGTACAGTTACTTAAAACTGCGTATTATAATGAGAAATTAAAGGAAATTGTCCCAAGAGCAGTTTTGGATACTCTTTCTATCAGCAGCAACATCTTGCTATGAAACAAAAGCTTGAAGAAAAGGCATAACACCATCTGTTATAACCTAGTTCATCCACTTGATCTTTTTTTGTTATATTAAACAGCTATTCTCTTTTCTAATTTTGGATGTTTTATTGTTAAGATCATATCAGCTTAATGTTTTTTTTTTCCTCACTCAGATTGTGGATTGTCACTGAGCTGGCAGTCCACTGGGGATACATCAGCCTGTGATGGAATCTCTGCAGATTTCAATAAAGACAAGTTGACTGGATCAGAAGAAGATGCAGATCACTGTTTGGCCATGGTATATTTAAAGCTCTAGATATAAACTTTAGCATGATGTCTTCGTCACAGTTTAAGCTGGTAATTCCCTGGGTTTGGGTCTATCCGCTAGGTGATATCAGGAAAAAAATTTACACTTTAAAAAAAATATTTGCTCCTTATCTGTTACAGAACATTTAAGGCAGTTCTTGAACATTTTAAGAAAGTAGCTCAAACAAAGTTAAAATATCTGCATGGCCATTTTATATGACGTGTCTGCAGATGTTGTTTTGCTGCACAAAATCTAAGAATTGATGGATGTTGTTTATAGTAATTGTTTGAGTATAAACCACATTTCCCTGCTTTCTGTTTCAGCCTCGTGTTTCGATTGGCTTTTATAAACCCACTCTGTTTAGTTCACTGATGACCTGAAACATGTTTTTGTCTGTGAGACTAAATTCATGCGGTTTCTTACTATAGAGCAACTGATAACCTCAAAGCATCCTGGACACTGTTACGCCTTTTAAACACACCTGAACTACTGAGAAGTTACTCTTCTTAATATCAGCTGGTTTGAGTTCAAGTGGGGAAACAAGAAGGGAGTAAACGCATACTTTAAAGCAAAGGGGCGCACCAGATTATGGTAGTAAAATATTTTACAATCCTTATAATAACAGCCACCAAATTTCTTTTTTGATTAAAACATAGGACTTTGGTCTTTCACTAATCTAAACATCAGAAAACACCCCTCCGCTTTATGACTCCTCTGTAGTTTAGTCATCATCTGCTGTATTTTCTTAATTATCTCTCATATAAATTGTGCTTTTTCTTGAAATTATAAAATTTTTGAACAAATCTAGAAGAATATTGGACCAAATATCACGAACAATTTTTACATAATTTTGGATTCAGGTTATAAATTAAACTATTATTTAATTTTTTTTGTAGCTGTAACATTTTTACATCACTGAATTCACCTGCTGAAATATTCTTAGATCTGTTCAAATTTTCCTATTTTAATTAAAAATTCGGCCAATTCTGCCAATAAGCAACAGTTGTCTAGCTAGAACCTTTAAATCTCATAAAATGCATTTTTTTCCTTAAGTTAGGAAGTTTTTTTTTTATTGGCTCTATTTTTAAAAATACTAAAATTCTTATCCTCATCCTGCAATTTTAACCAAATTATTTGCATACCAAGTAACCCATAAATAAAACTGCAATATTGTAGAAAAATTGTTAAAACTATGATCTTAAATTTCTTTAAAACTTCATTAAGAATCTTATATGATAAAAGATTTTTTTTTTTTTTTTTTGTTATGATGATTCTGAGATGTTCTTTTAAGGAAACTAAATCAGAACTGTTGGAAGTCAAATAGTTTAGGAGGATTGAATCCTTACAGATTTAGTTTTTCCTGTTGGCACTCTTTATCCTCTTGGGGATTTTCTCCACAGTGTTCCCCAGGGGGAATTCTTGGATTTATTTTTACTTAATTGTAATACTTCTGTGACATAATAGAAACACAAAAATCCCTGCACATTTTAATACAGTTGATGGACATCTTTACAGCCAATGGAAAGTTTCATCATACTGACCTGGTTTCAAATGTTGCAGTTCATCTTTTAGAGGCAATTTAAGTTTTTTTTTCTTCTCCTGTTTCAGTCGTTGAATAACCAGATTCCATTTCGTTCTTTACCTTTTTACAAATAAGAGACATCTAAGGTCTACATCAAACAGCTCTGTTTCTTAATATGATAATAATTGAACATCATTGACCTCGCAATGGAGGATTTTACTTGCTGCATCTTAACCCATCCTCTTGGGGAGCAGTGGGCTGCCATTGTGTGGCGCCTGGGGAAAATCTGGGGTGTCTCAGAGACCCAGAGTGCAGGATGTGGGGATCGAAACGGGTATTTGTACCCCTCTCAAGGACAAACGCACTGCTTTAACTACTAGGCCAACACTCCCCTCCCAATAATGCCTCTTCATTTCTTCTTCTTTTTTTTAGCCTTAAAAATATGAAGTATTTAATGTTGTAGATTTTTATTTTTCATTATACTTTTTAAAGTTATACTATTTTAAACTATACTATTTTAAAGTTAGTATAGTTGTTATTCTTTGGTTCTGATATTTTTCGCCTATATACATGTGAAATGTCTCTAATCTGTTTTAAATGGATGCATGTCCAAGAAAATATTTAGCCATAAATGTTGGATGCTCTATATCCTACCATGTCTCTCCTTTATTTTGCAGTTCAAATGCAATCATTGTAAAACTGATTAGGGGTGCAACTAACTATTATTTTGCAAATCAATTAAGCTGTAGATTTTTTTTTATTAATCAGATAGCCAAAAGTTTCTTAAAGAAGATCTTTGCAGATTTTAACCAGGTGGAACTAAAATGTTTACAATTGAGTCCTGAATAGAGCATATTGATGAAAACATTATTGTATCTTAAATGCTAAATATTATTATTATTTTTTTTTTTATATAATTATCATATAAATACTGCTCTTAGTGGGTTGCTCTGTCAGCTAAAGGCATGTTTTAGAGTCTCTATACTCCAGTTAAAGATTAATCAATTACTCAATTAGTTGACAATTATTTCAATAATTGATTCATCCGATTAAGTGTTTTAGCCGTAAAATTGATAAATTCTTAATCTCTTACAGAAGCGTAAAAGAAGGAATCCTGGCCTGCAGTGCAATGGAAAGAGCAGCCCTAAACGCCAGCGAGGGAGCATGCTTCATCCGACAGGAGAGGCAGAAAAAGATGGAGGACGGGTCCCACTGTGTGGTGTTCAGGAAGAAAGTGACATAGACTTAGATATGGAGCGTTGTATTGTACAGTTCACTGTTGGAGAAGAAGATGGATTTCAGCCTTTGGTCCCATTCTACCCTGGTGGGAAACCTGAAGGCATCATTATCAGTAGCAGGATTAACTCATCGCCCAGGAATAACAGCGCAACCCAAACCAGCCTGTCTGATCCCAGTGAGTACATCAGCTCATGGCAGATAAGCCTCTTTGCTTTTCCACACTTTTACATTGTAGTTATTAAACAATTAGGAACATTTAATGAAGCATTGGGGTGAATTTAAGCAACTGATAAAGCAATATGCTGGTTTAGAAAGTGTGTGAGATAACTGGTCATTTAGGTTAAATCCAAAGTAACCTGACTAAAACAAATCTTGTCGTGTTTGTGTTAACTAAACTACACCTGCATGTTGGTGAGTTATTGGCTTAGCTTGATGTTGTTGGTGTTCCCTCTTGCTTGTTTTTTTAATGCAGTCAAACATGGAGATGAATTGGATGAGCAGAGGGAGTTGGAAGTCAAACTCATGTTACTTTCTTTATCAGTCGGTGATATTTTAATCAGCTGCTCTTTTTATTTTATTTTTTTAACTACCGTAATTTTCGGACTATAAGCCGCGACTTTTCCCCCATTTTTCGACCTTTCGGCTTATATAACAATGTGGCTTATCTATGGGCTTTTACAGCCACGCGTGTGGGAATGCAGAGGTCCTCCGGAAGCAGACTTCTACCACGAGTGGTACGAGACAGAACGACAGCGAGAAAGACGGACATAGCGAGCGCAAGACAGTTTGTGTTAAACATAAAAACCTGCGGCCTATAGTCCGGTGCGGCTTGTATAGTACAAATCATGCAATTTAGCTTCTGCTGCTTATATTCAGGTGCGGCTAATAGTCCAAAAATTACGGTACCTATTTTATTTCTTGCTCCACAATCAGCTCTTCTTTAGGATTACTTGCCACTGCAGTAAAGATGCCATGGAAGATATACAGGTCCTTCTTGAAATATTAGCGTATTGTGATAAAGTTCATTATTTTCCATAATGTAATGATAAAACTTGAACATTTATATATTTTAGATTCATCGCACACTAACTGAAATATTTCAGGTCTTTAATTGACTTAATAATAATGATTTTGGCATACAGCTCATGAAAACCCACAATTTCTATCTCACAAAATTAGCATAATAAAAGATAAGGGTTCTTAATACAAAAAGAAAAAGTCAACCTCCAAATAATGATGTACAGTTATGCACTCAATACTTGGTCGGGAATCATTTTGCAGAAATGGCTGCTTCATTGCGGCGTGGCATGGAGGCAATCAGCCTGTGGCACTGCTGAGGTCTTATGGAGGCCCAGGATGCTTTGATAGCAGCCTTTAGCTCATCCACAGTTTTGGGTCTTGTTTCTCAACTTTCTCTTCACAATATCTCACAAATTCTCTATGGGGTTCATGTCAGGAGAGTTGGCAGGCCAATTGAGCGCAGTGATAAAATGGTCTGTAAACCATTTACCAGTGGTTTTGGCACTGTGAGCAGGTGCCAGGTCATGCTGAAAAATAAAATCTTCATCTCCATAAAGCTTTTCAGCAGATGGAAGCATGAAGTTCTCCAAAATCTCCCGATAGCTAGCTGCATTGACCCTGGCCTTGATAAAACACAGTGGACCAACACCATCAGCTGACATGGCACCCCAGACCATCACTGACTGTGGGTACTTGACACTGGACTTCTGGCATGTTGGCATTTTCTTCTCCCCAGCCGCTGTTTCTGGTTCAAAAGTGGCTTGACCTGGGGAATGCGGCACCTGCAGCCCATTTCCTGCACATGCCTGTGCATTGTGGCTCTGGNTCTCAACTTTCTCTTCACAATATCTCACAAATTCTCTATGGGGTTCATGTCAGGAGAGTTGGCAGGCCAATTGAGCGCAGTGATAAAATGGTCTGTAAACCATTTACCAGTGGTTTTGGCACTGTGAGCAGGTGCCAGGTCATGCTGAAAAATAAAATCTTCATCTCCATAAAGCTTTTCAGCAGATGGAAGCATGAAGTTCTCCAAAATCTCCCGATAGCTAGCTGCATTGACCCTGGCCTTGATAAAACACAGTGGACCAACACCATCAGCTGACATGGCACCCCAGACCATCACTGACTGTGGGTACTTGACACTGGACTTCTGGCATGTTGGCATTTTCTTCTCCCCAGCCGCTGTTTCTGGTTCAAAAGTGGCTTGACCTGGGGAATGCGGCACCTGCAGCCCATTTCCTGCACATGCCTGTGCATTGTGGCTCTGGCTGTTTCTACTCCAGACTCAGTCCACTTCCTCAGGTCCCCCAAGGTCTGGAATCGACCCTTCTTCACAATCTTCCTCAGGGTCCGGTCACCTCTTCTAGTTGTGCAGCGTTTTCTGCCACACTTTTTCCTTCTCACAGACTTCCCACTGAGGTGCCTTGATACAGCACTCTGGAAACAGCCTATTCGTTCAGAAATATCTTTCTGTGTCATACCGTCTTGCTTGAAGGTTTCAATGATGGCCTTCTGGACAGCAGTCAGGTTGCCAGTCTTACCCATAATTGGGGTTTTGATGAACCAAGAGTTTTAAAGGCCTCAGGAATTTTTTGCAGGTGTTAAGAGTTGATTCAGATGATTATAGCTCATTCAGAGACCTTTTTCATGATATACTAATTTTGTGAGATAGGAATTTTGGGTTTTCAAGAGCTGAATGTCAAAATCATCCGTATTAAGACAATAAAAGACCTGAACTATTTCAGTTGGTGTGCAATGAATCTAAAATATATGCATGTTCAAGTTTTATCATTACATTATGGATAACAATGAACTTTATCCCAATATGCTAATATTTTGAGAAGGACTTGTAGACCTTTAGGTCAGGAGGTTCAAACTTTTGTCCCCGAGGCCAGAATCCTGCAACTTTAGGCTACGTTCAAGTGTGGTATTTTTCTTTTCTTTTTTTTTCTTAATATTGCGATGTAATACGTTTATTTTTTTTTCTCCAGCTTAATTCATCATGTTATTTTTAAACAACTACAAACAATAAATTTGTTTCATAATAATCATTAGATTTATTTAAAGCACAGATTACAACGATGAAGGAAACAAATTTGTGGCTTTACCTACATCACCTCATTAACATCTTATGTTTCATGAAGCATGATTTATAAATAGATGGACTGCACTCCTTAAAAACTGCCAGATTTTAACAGGAAAGTCTATGAATAAATTAAATAAGATACGAAAATAAGACTGATCTTCAGTCAGTGGCATCACATATACTAAAGTGCAGGAAAAGTATAGAGAACAAATGTCTTCTGTCTACCAGTAAAATGTTTATAGGTAAATCAAACTCTCAAATGAACACTAAACAAGTGTATGAACTTTAAGTTCTAAGAAAAACTTTTTGAAGAATTATGAAAACTATATATTGACTCAGTCTGTTGGACTCTGGTATGGTTCTGCTGTGCGGTTTGACCACAAATCATCAGTTGTTGCAAAAATCTCCACTGTTTTTAGCTCCACTGAACCTCTGTTTCTGCATTTTTTTCCTATAGCTCAACTGTGGTGATTTGGCTAAAATATGTGCATGAGGGCGTAAATACCTCTTATCCATCCTGCTTACCAAAGCTATAAACCCAGGCTTGGTCACTATACTAACAGGCATCATGTATTTAGTTATAAACTCCATTATTGCCTGAGTTACTTCAAAGTGCCGTTTAAAATTATGTTCATAAGGAGTAACATTTTCAAACAGTTTGGTCAGTGATCTCTGTCAGCCGGTACTTTGTTTACTTGACGTTGAGGCACTGCTAGTTTTCATTCTAGTCGTGCAAACCATCATACACGGCGTTGCTGTGTTTTCTAGGTGTTGATAAAGGTTCGTCCTCTTGCCTTGTGTGGTAGCAAAATTAGCAAGGCATCTCTTGCACAACACCTGTCGTTGTTCAGGCCAAAATAATTTCCTAGAGGTTACATACTGCTCCTCTTTGGTACCAGACCTTCAGTTGTGTCAGTTTTTGTCCAGCCTGAGGCCATTGTTTTACAGCTTATTAATAGGCGAATAATGATTTTTATTTTTTTCCCCCCCTCTGTGATCCTTGGCTAGCAATTCACCCCTCTACTCCCTTCTTCATCTACTGCGCATACGCATGCACAGTAGAGGATGAGCTGTATGAATGTAGTTCACATTATAAGTCGCATAATATTTGGAAAGTGAAAGACCATGCAAAATAATTGGATTTCACGAAAAAAATAATCTGATTTGAGCATTAAGGTCTGCAGTGTGAACGTAGCCTTAGATGCAACCGTGCTTCAACACACCTGACTCATGTTTGCTCTTTAGCAGACATTTGTTTCAGGTGGGTAGGGCAAGGGACACGTATAAAGGTTCAGGACACCAGACCCCTGCTTTATGTATTCTCTACTTGTGAGGGAGTAAAATGGTTAATTTTTTCTTTTCTTTCCCCATTTTAGTTGTGTTGTCCAGCGATGATGAGGAAAACCGTGAGGATCCTGAATGTCGGCACAGATTGGGGCAGAATAAGGCCTCACTGTTTGACACGTCAATCCATAGAAATGCCTCAGAGGAAGAGGAGTCCCAACAGGAGATGACATCAGACACAGAGGATGTGCAGGTCGGTCCAGTTGTCAGCCATACATTCCTGTGTTTCAATGCCGACGGGTTTCTAAACTCCACTTAGTTGATGCAAAATGTTTGGATAAGCGTGTTCAGCCTTTATAACAAAGGTTGGTATTAGGGATAAATCTCAAAACTTTTAGTTGGGTGGAAAAGGCAGAAGTATAAAACCGTGTTTTCCGTCATACTTCCTAATCTGCAGAAAATCAAAGCAGATGAAGGAACTGCTTTGAGCGTTCAGTCTCTGCATTAAAATTAATTTGTAAAGTTGTTTAAATGGCTGAAGGGCACCTATCGAGTGTCCCAGTAACCATGACGACAATGCCATTGGTTTGTTACGGAGAGGCTTTGTCAACACACCTTGGGTACATTTTTTTTTTACAGCCAACTAGACTTTTTAAACGTCATGATTGACTCAGTTTTCCTCCAAGTTTGGAGTCAAAATGAAAGATGTATAAAAAAAAAAATGTTGACAAAGGAGAAAAATGTTGAATGCCTTTAGGATGATGGTGGGTAGCTTTTGAAAAAGCTGTTTAAATTTAGCCCTTGAAGGACTGTTTTGTAGTCTTTCCATCTGTGGCCCGCCGCAGCCCCTCCCCCCATCTCTGGCTCCCTATCTGTCCGGGATGCTTTTCCGGTCTACAGCGGTTCTCCTCTGCTCCCCTCCTGAGCTAGCTCCCTAAACCCTCCGCCTTCCGTCTGCTTTTGCTCGCCTTGAAATCTGCCTGGCCAGTGAGAGCAATTCATACAGCCGGTGGAAGGATCCAATAAGGACAATTAAGGGAGGGTGAGACGGTGTTCTGGAACCAAGACAGGAGCAGCAGTGAACAGTGGATACTTCAGCCGGCCATTGATAAGATGTTTAGTTTATTTCTGTTTG